AAAAAAAAAAAAAAAAAAAAAAAAAAGCCAATAAAAATATGACTCAACCCAAGTGCAGTGACTGGAACATTTCCTATGAAAACACTGACTGAGATGAGAACTGAAGGATACACAGGCATGAACCAGATGAGTGGAGGCAGGGGATGGGTGGCAAGAACATTCAACATACAATAAAGAACAATGTGTAGAGCTTCTGTATTGTAAGGATGCAGGGAAAATTCAAGAAACGAAAGTTTAGTGTGGCTAGAACCCAGAGACAGAAAAAGGGTCAAGGGTGAGACCATGTTGCTAGGCCTTGCAGGCTATATTAAAGATTTGAACTCTGAGCCAGGTGTGGTGGTGCACACCTGTAATCTGAGTACTTGGGAGGTTGAGGCAGGAGGATCTCTGAGTTTGAAGCCAGCCTGGGCTAAATATATAGTGAGTTCAAGTCCAACCTGAATTACCTAGTGAGACCCAGTCTCAAAACAACCAAAAAAGGAAAGAAAGAATTTGGTCTGTACATTAGAAGTAGTGAGAAGTTATTTTACAGTGTTTTCAATATGAATGTTCATGTATACTGTGTGATATGGTTGGATTTGAGTTCTGCAAAAATCACTCTGGCTGTGGTAGGAAGTCAATTGCAGGAAGACAGGCTAGAAAAGGTGAGCCAATTTAGCAGGCCCTTGTCCTGGGGTAGAGTCACAGATCAGGATGTTGGTAGAAATGATATGAAAATGATGGATTCCAGGGATGGATTAGGAAGGTAAAATTGATAAGATTTTAAAAAGAATTAAATACAGGGTCATGGAAAAGGAAGGGATCCCCTTGTGCTATTGGGTGGACAGTGATGCAAATCACTGTCATACAGACCATCTGGTTATCAGTGACTGTTTTCTAAATAGTATCTGTTTTGCCATGCTCCATGCTGGAGATGCTAGAGGACTAGGATTCTAAGTAATGGTCTTGTTGCATTTAAAATGCCTTAACTGCCAAGTAGATTTAAGGTGACCTTTTTTTTTGTAGCAATCCCATCAGATTTCACTGATTTTCTAGAATATGAAGTTCCATGAAAGAAAAGTTTTTGTATTTTACTCAACACTCTCTAGATCTGCTGCAGTTCCTAACCTTTGGGCACCTTGCTAGGTTATTAGTTGTGTGTGTGTATGTATGTGTGTGTATGTATATATATATATATATACACACACACCACACAAATGCACACAACAAAGGGTATCAAGGACTGCGTAAGACCTAAAACCTTTCTTGTGCATGGTGGTGGTAGTTGTGGTACAAGGATCTCTGCTTAAAACCAAGGGCCGAGCAACCTGAACTTTAAAAACATAAAGTAAAAAGTTAATCTGGTTGTATATATTTCAAATCGGCTGCCTGATATTCTGTATACATTTCTCCCCCCTATCAAAGGAGTTTTTGGGACACAAATGCCTCAAGACACCGGGGCGTAGCTTGCTAGGTTTCGGAAGCACTGTTCTCAGAGGGACAGCGAGGTCGGCACCTCCAGCCTGGAGAGGGCACCCAGCACTCACTGGACAGGTCCCGCGCCGCGACGGGGCACTGGCTCATGGCTTGGGACGCCAGGATGTCGAGCTCCTCCAGGTCGTCTTCAGTGAGTTCCCCGTGCGCACCGAACGGGTCTTCGGGGTCCAGAGGGGTGGTCGCGGGGAAGCCCCGGGCCCTCTTGCTCGGGGGATGGCCGGTGCCGGGCGGCGGGCCAGAGTGGAGTGTCGGAGG